GTAATTTATTTTCACCTAGCTCCACAAATGTATTGGCTTTCCGTTTTACTCAATAATAAAACCAATATTTATTCTAGACTAAGTTTGAGATAAGCATTGAATTGAGTGCGGCTAGTGGTGAAGGAGTTTCGGGCTCGAGACATGAAGGTTTGGTTTTTGTGGCTTGGTCTTGTGTTGGTGGACTTCAAATTGTGAGCTTTGGTTTTGTCTCTTCTCTGAAAGTTAGGACTGTTCAGGTGTTTCGATATTGGATATCTTATGTGATGCGGGAGTAGACGTGCTATGCAAAGAAACAACACAAGGAGTTGAGAAGAAGAACGGGTTGGTGATCACTTTGTTGATTTTGGCCCAGCTTTTTAACTAAAACGTGGTCGACATTCTTTTGGGTTGGGTTTGATGAAGATAAGATTATTGAAGTGATATCAGGCGCAAACAAGTAAAAGAAGAGCCCATTTCATCTATGGTCAAGACTGCAATAAAATCAAGCTGTTTCTATCTCTTACATGCATAATAAAAGTCTAAATTATGTTTTTTAGGTGCTCTGCATGTAGAACTTTAATTTGAACGTTTTTATTGTAATCCCTCTATATAATGAGGTTCTTATTGATGAATAAAAATTGGAAAACGAGTTTGAGAATTTGGAGTCTTTGTGACCCTTTTTGATCTATTTAGATATTTTTCTTTATCTTCTTGTTTTGGGAGAGCCATTGGTGGTGGATTCGAGCGTCTTTATCTTCTGGTGGTGGCGATTTTATCTAGGAGTCGTGCTAACTCAGCGGGATTCTTTATCAGCTCCAGTGCTTTGGCTTTACGAGTTGTGGTGATCCCGTATCTTCCTATTATCCGGTTACTTTAGTTCTATTCAAATTTGTCTTTGTTACGGTCTCTAAATCATTCACTCCGTTCGCTTCCTGGTACATGCATCAAAGTGGTATCAGAGTATTCCAGGTTGCTGAAGTGAAGGTTAATTCGTTTATCCTCTGTTTTATTTGAATTATCATGGATCTTCCAAGATGATTGACTCTTGAGCAAGCGCATGCTGAGAGTATCACCAGAGAGATGGCGGAACTAAAATGACAGATGCGGGAGATGGTTCATGCTTTTAATGGCGTGAATATTCAAGATCAGCTAAGGAGACGAAGAATTGTGGAAGTTGAAATGTCTTCTGATGAAAGTGGAGGTTCTTCTCATGGATCTGATGTTGATCATAGTATTATGATGGAATGTGGCGGAAGGAGAAGAGATAATCATCCACAATCACAACAGCCTCATCGTGAAGAAGATTTTAGAGTGGATTTCTCTAATTTTGAAGGTAATCTGAATTCAGATGACTTTCTCGATTGGTTGAGATCTATGGAGATAGCGTTTGAATACAACACTTACGACGATGAGAAAAATTTTAAGGTGGCTACGTTGAGATTGAAAGGTTATACTAGTCTTTGGTGGGATACTCTTAAACGCAATATTCTAGAGAAAGAAAGACTTG